CTACCACGCCTGCCAAGTGTCTCGTCTACAGTGAAAACACCAGACGCCCGTTGGAGCTCAATAACCTCACGCTGTCTAAACAAACAAACAACGCGATTACGATATCTTGAGGAGCACAGCAAAAAAACGCTCGAGCACAGGAAAGCCGTAATAGTAGAATCGCGTCGATCAAAGGAAGGAAGGACACTCATAAAACGAACGAAGGTGAAATGAAAGGACACTGGCGCACGTTTCCTCGCTGTGCCTGTCCGCGCCCCGTTTCCCATTTGGATAATTAGCAACAATTCCCTCCAGGGGAGGCACGCTCCGCTCCGTCGAAGGAGCAGCGTCTTTGGGCAGCTTATAACGTGGACACCCGCCCTAGTGTGTCCGCAATACTGCGACATCATTCACTGCCCATGCATGCGGCGTGTCTTCTTTACACGCACTTTCTCGGTGCGTTCTGGAGCTGTTCTACGTACAAGAACCTGTCTCAACTTGTCTCGTTGCTCGATGCGAATGCCGGCATTTTAATCATTTTCGCGATATGATTCGAGCGTATGGTTTAAAGTCAAGGTCAAGAAATGACGAGTTTATTATTCACTTAAGCGTGAACCAACGCGATGTATACAAACAAATACGCGTCTACGCATGCGCGGCGCTGATAGCAGAACCACAGCAACGGCTTGACGTCATAGCCACGAATTAGTATATACGTTTTTTTCTCTATCCTCAACGTTTGTTTTAGCTGAGTTAGCAACTTTACAATGCCACATACCTACATACCCCACTCGACATACCGAACACTGGATAGTTGCAAAGTGTGTAAATAACTACGGATATCAAATGCTTAAGTTCACGCTACCCAAAATTTTAATTGTCTAAATACAAAAAAAAAAAACACATTGATGTTGAAGGAATTTCTTTCTCTGAACTTGGTGATGCTTTCCTAAACTTTCTAACAGTGTGCTTATTTCTGTTTCTGCTGAGTGCTTATATTATAATTGTATAATTTCTTTCTGTAATTCCTGTGTATTGACTTCCGTGCATACGAGCTCTGTTTCTTTAATAAAGGGGCCAAGGGCCTGTCAAGCTGTCACGACGCAGCTTTTTTCCTTGGTCTCCTCCATTGATGTGCATTGACGGAAATAAAACGAATTATTAAGTCCCGTAGACACAAGCGCCAGCTGAGCCTCTAGTGTTTATTATAATAACTTTGTGGGCGCCATTTCACGCATCCCAAAGTAAAAATGAAAAAAAAAATATTAAAACCCAGGGACGCCAAATGTTCTGAGTCTAGAGACGCGTACCCTAGCGGTGGTGGCGTAAACCTGGCACTTTCGATTGTCTTGCGGCGACGAATACAGCCGATTTCGGACGTCGAAAGGTGTTTTTTTTTTTTTTGTCCTTAACTACTACACAGAACGATAAAAGCTCAATAAAAGTGCCGTAAGTAGGAACTGCGTATTAGTTACGCACCCTCAATGCATTTGAGGAAATCTGTAAACCAGCCAATTTGGTTTAGATAATAGATGTAGTATAAAAAGTAATACGACCATCGAATCCCTTACAATTGCCCCATTATCTAAGACTTAAAAAAAAACAGTGCAGCTGCATGTAGCACGAGCGATGTCAATTAAAGCAAAATGAGAGAAATAATAAAAAAAACAGTTTGCCAAAATTAACTAAAAAAATTTCTGGAGCATAATAAAACTAATCGGCAGGATGATTCACGGAATGAGCCTGTTTGCTTCGAGATTTAATTTTGTTTAGCTATTTTCTTTTTACATTTTATTTACGAACCCGATTCCTCGTTTTCAAGGGCAGTGTATCAAGCTGAATGTTCACAAAACTGCTAGAAAATGACCATTTCGTAACGAGGTATCCGCGAAAAAGAAAAAAAGAAACGAGCAAACGATTAAGGTGTGACGAAGAATTCGTTAGGGCATAAAAATACCCAAGTTGGAGCTTTGAAATGGAGGGATAATTAACGTCGTTCTTTTTCCTCGTCGAAATGTAACTCTTTAAACAAAAATTGTCATTAAAACAGAATCACCGTACATCTAACGATCACACTGCGAGCAGAAATTTAGTTAATGGGTTCAACGAATCTTTTTTTCCTTTGACATGTTATAAACAAGATAGTGTAGTTATAAGCGCCTGTTGTAATGGATAAGTTTGTCAGGATATATGGAACAAGGGGTCTTCTGAAATATTAATTTTGTTTACTGCGCCCAATAATTATTACTCTAATGGCCGCCATTATGTTGGGCCTCATAAATTAAATATATTTTTGAGATTGCTGTATTTGTTTTGGGTTTTATAATTGTAAATTAGGGGTGATCGCATGCTTCTAATATTAAAAGGAGCGTGTAAGCGGAAGTATTTCAGACATAAAAATAAAAGTAGCCGGCATCAATGGCAGCTACCAAACAAGAAGCTGCACTAAGAGATGTTGTGATGTTTGTTTCGACATATAATTGCTTGATCTCTGTGGACAACCAAGCCTATTAAAGTTCTCGCAATATTCTGTTTGTTTGTTTGTTTTATTGGGAATTATATATATAGTTCGGTCAAACTAGACAGTTCGGCAGCCCAAGACTTTACTTTGTTTTTTTGTTCATTTTGCAGATGTTGAAGTATGTTTCTATTTTTTTCTATTGTTGTTGTTAAGTTTGTTTTACATTTTCAAAATGCCTTTTTCGTGAACCTTATTGTTTGTAAAAAAATCAGAACATCAACAGCTAAGCACCTGTGTACTTTTAACAAAAATATCAACAGCTCACACAAAAGTAATGCTGTGTGGGAGCCGTATGAATCTCAACACACGCTCGTTTAAGATAAGCTTACATGTAAGTTTACAGTAAGCTTAAAGTAATATAAGCTGGGCTAAATTTACAACCAGCCAAGTTCACCACCTTGCTACGCACATGGAGTGAATTACAAATGTTGTCACTTTTCTTAAGTCGACATAACAAAAACTAGTACGTATGCTCTTCATTTGTGAACCCTTGCAGTTTATAACAGCAACCAATGAGATAAAAACGGCACAAGGCCAAATTACTTTTTTTTTCATTTGACTTTAGTGTTTCGCTTTTATTCCTTGCATTTTGCTTTAGCACCCCTAGGTTTCAAAGGCTAGCACAATTTGAAAAACCGCGGCCAATGAGAGTGCTGGTTTTATTCATTACTTTCATTTTGTCTCAGCTCTGAAGACGAAATGAGAAAGAGAGAGAGAGATCACTTTGAACTCCAATGCACGGCATGCAGCACTGAACATTTACTGGGACGGTTAATACGCCCCGTAAAAAGTTCACTGTTTACCTGTACTTTCGTCAGTAAGTTTATAAGGCAGCAAGAACACCAAATCCGATACGTATGTATATTTTGTTTTCTTCAATAACGTTCAAGGCAGAAGCTTCATTTTAACCTGTCCCTCACTGCAAAAAGCTCCAAGGATTTCTACTACAAATACCTGCTCGCAAGAACAAAAAAGTGCTTAACTCGCTGCCACAAATGTTTCACTTTCTTCCTAAAGAAAACTTAAAAGAAAAAAAATGTCAATCTTCAAGCACCATGCACGTGCATGCTATCACCCATAAAATGACATGCAGAAACGCAAAAAGAAAAGAAATTCTAGCAGAAAAACGATAGCCGAGTTTTCTTAGCCCGATAAGCCTCGGTTCGGGCCAGCCAATTACCCCTAAAGCGATTAGGAAACGAGAGAAAAATTGCGACGACTTGGGGCCCTTTATTCTATCAATCTATTAGACGTCCGACGGTTCGGTGCCTCTTTTTATTTCATTTTTATTTTTTTGCGGATTCTTGACGTCGATAGGTAGTGCTCTGCTGCACTTGGAGCACGTCGAGACTGTAAACGTCAACTCGGTTTGAAAATTTTATCGAATTTGAAAACAGTTGTTTTTACGAAACGAGGTCGTTGTTTCAATAGCTGTCTTTAACGAAAGAACAAGACGACGGAGTGCTTTGGAGAGACACTAAAAGCGGCAGTTGCGTTCAAACTTTGCAAATTGAAGCAGGTGGGAGAGAGTGAAAACATTTAAAGAACTTAAGTGAAAATATTCGAAAGAAAAGAAGGAGGGTTTTATTTTTTACTTGTATTATAAGTATTTACAAATATAGTAACAAAACAAGGTTCATTTTAAGCACACGTTCTGAGCTACACGGTCCTTTCCATAACAAGAAAGATGACGCCATTTTGGATGATGTCTGAAATTCTGTGCGTCTTTACGCTAATCATGATAATATGTAATAAACACCACTGGTCCTTTGCAAACAAAGTGCGTACAAAAATGGACTCAGCTGTAAAAAACATGCCCCCCTCCCCCTACAAAAAAAAAAAGAGAAAAAAAAGTGGCACTTACACATCTTCACGAGCTGATCACAGTTTCGACCCAGAAGCACCAGAAGGAACTGCAGAAGTCTGTGCAGCAAACCGTACAGCGTGAAAATAAGATGTCCGTTTGACCCGCCCTTGAAGTGACATCTTTGCGCTGACAGGGAAGAGACAATATGAGCAACAACGCGGATGAAATGTGACCAAAACATCAAACTGTATGCTGTAGCGGATATTTTGAACGGGTGGATCAGCCTTTGACGCGTACTTATGCTTCGTCTCATCTTAGCATGGACTAACTGCGAAGGATGTGCAAGCGGAAGTGGGTAGCCTTGATTGCTTTACCTGGAGACTCACTGCACGAGCCCTCATGCAGCCGCCGAGGCTTCATCCAAAGCAACTGGCTCGCCCTTTTAGCATGCGCATCTATCAATAGTTCATGCTAAGGTGAGACGAAGTATAAGTGACCACACGGCAGTGTGAGGTCAAGTAAACAAAGAGAGAACACGCATAAAAAGGTGGGTGTCGTCACGCGCAATAACATCTATGTCACTGTCGCTTGCACATTTTGACTAAAAGCTGTAGATGGATTTGCGCAAACACAAAAACAAATCAAAATGCTGATCGTTAAAAAGATAAACACCAAGAGTTTTCTAATCTTTTAATGCATGTGATGGAATGTCTAAGTTTGCCGATCTATGAGCACGTAACTAAAAAGTATGTTCTCTCGACTTTCGCAGGGTGTCACTGTCTGCGCCTGGTGGATCTCCACGTGCCCGGAGCTGTGCGCAGCGGCGAGCCCGTCCAGCTGCGCTGCGAGTACGACCTGGAGAGCGCCGAGCTCTACTCCGTCAAGTGGTACAAGAACAACGTCGAGTTCTACCGGTACCTCCCCAGCGACGTCCCGCCGGGGCAGTCCTACGAGCTCCTCGGGACCTTCGTCGACGTGAGTCTTTGAGCCTAAAGCCGATGTCATATTGACGAAGGACGCGGTGCTCGAGCAGCTGACATAATGACAGACGTATCAGTGCGGGTGCACGTTTCAAGCATATATGTTCGAAGCTTGTCTGTAATACAAAAATGTTTGCCAGCAGTTTTTTATGTTTTTTATTTTATTGAGTATTAGAAGTGTGACAGCAGCTTTAAGAAAACTTGTAACTTAGGAAGACAGCTTTATTTTCACGTAGACGTGTTTTCACTTTGGAAAATAATTTTGAGACAAAATGGCGGTCCTAAAGAAAACGTTTTGAGTGCGCTAAAAAGTCGTCGCTTTTCTTTTCATAAAACGTATGACCTTTTCATTATTTTTAAATATATTTAAAAAATGCAACGTATAATAGTAACGGAGATTTCTAACAAGTAAAATAGGACGAGCTTGTATTTCCCGCCCAATTTAGCGGGAAACCTTTGCCTACCAAAATGAGCGGGGACATATCGTACGCGTCCACATAAATTGAACCACGAAGGCTTTGTTCCCCCTACATTTAGAGGCAAAACATTAACTGCCGTATATACACGGCTCAGAGTGACTCAGAAGCTTAGAAACATTCAAAAATAAGCACTTAGCACAAATTAAAACATTCTGTCCATTTTATGTCTGTCGACGTAATTCGTAGGAATCATTCTTTTTCTTTATTTTTACTAGTTCTTTTTTCCGTTCAGACTGTGCGAGCTCTTTGAATCGCTCGGTCATTTCCTTCTATTCGGGATGAGCGGCTCGGCAGGCTACAGGTCTGAGAACTCGAACCCTTTGATTGGTTAAACGTTTAATTCGAGTGGCAAGGCGCGTTTTGCGCTCGTGTCGATAGATGGCGCTACCTTCTTATTAAGACTAGAGTTCCTGTATAGGCTCCCTACGGGAGCCAGAGTTGCGCGTCTGTTTTCCACGTGCCGCCGCGCCGCTATTCGCCGAGAACCGTGCAGGAAAGTAGACGTTGCGCGCGCCCCACCGAACGTTCCCTTGCTTTTGAGCACGCCGCGCGCCTCGAACGCGCGGCGCTGCTATTCGCCGAATTCAGTCACGTGACGAGCTGGATCAACATGCCATGTAGGAAAGGCGGCGCTATGGGGATGAACGCGCAACTCTGGCACCCGTAGGGAGCCTATACAGGGATTATAATTAAGACTGCTCGCGACCACCGTGGTTTGTTAAAATAAACATGATCTTTTTGTAATGTACCTTTGGTTTAAAAATAAATGCGAACAATAAAATCAAAACTCGAGTAAAAAAAAACGTGTTTGCATAACGATGGCGCTTTGCTGCCAACGGATTTCGTCTGCGTGTCGTCTGCTTTTTTTTCGTTGGTCGGCTACACCTTCGTACGCTGCTCCCAACGCCATCTATCAATTCACGCGCAAAACACATTCCGCTACTCGACTCGGTCGTCTGCGTCGCCGTTCGCCGTTGATCCTGGCAAGTTTTTGGAAATATTCCTCAGAGAAAGAAAGCTATGCTTTGCAATTTTACAAGAAAAAACCGACCTGTGAAATACAACTTCGACGAAAAGTTTAGATTGCTAGTGCAGGCGTCGATTTTCACGGTCCTTTTTAGATCGAGCCTGGTAACTTTTGACACCCTATATATAGGGTTTCATGTTTTCAGATAAATCCGAAAAATTCCACAAAAAATACACCCACCGGGAAAAATTATGTCAATTCAAATTTATCCGATAACCTCGAATTTATTTGTGCCAATGCCCTCCCCCCCCCTTTTCTAAAAAAGAAAGTAAAAGACTTTTTTTTTACAATTTAATCCGCGCAGGGTCAATTTTCTTGGGAAAATTCCACCTTATCTTTCAAATATCGAACCGCTGTCCAAAGGGGTCTTAGCGGTTATCTTGTCAAGGTTGATTCAGGGCAACAGGTCATTGTACAGTTGGGTCACCACTCACGGCAAAAGCCACTCTTTTAGTTTCCAGTTTTGGCCATGTATTTTGTGCTTTAGAAAAATTAGAGGTTATGTTTTTGTGACATTGAAAGCTCTGAACCATACAGATTGTATAAAATAGGGAAGAGGGGCAGTTGAAACTTCTCCATTACATCCTTAACCACTCCATCTCGCGCGGCCGCGGGCTAGATTGATAGAATAGGATGGGATGGCTACGGGAAATCCCATCCTATTGACTACCTCGGGGAGTAGTTCATTGATTCTAAGATATCGACGTTTATCGAAGCAGCTCTTGTGTGCAACTTTTGTTGTGAGATATATTAGTGTTGCCAATGGCAATGCCACCAACGCCAAATTCAGCAAAGGAAATTTTATTTGATACAAGCGCGCTTTATTTTTTATCTGGCGTAGGTTTGTATTCGATTAATATTGATTTAATTATTTTTATAAGAAACACTACGAAATTAAACTCCGGGTATCAAATAATAGGGAATCCAACCAAATAAACTCCGATAGAATCCGAATCCAAACAACACCATCCGAATTTGACGAAAAATAAACTCCGAAAACACAGATCCATACCTATATTCAACTATAGGGGTACTCACTGGACGCCATATTTGAGGGCGTTGTTTAGCGCGCATGCTCATAACGAGCTCAAATTAATAGGATACTAAGACCGGCAACCTTGATGGTGTGGAACGCACTTTGCAAAGGAACTGTGGAAGCTCGCCGTCAGCACGTGCTCAGCAGCAGGGTGTAAGATAGACAGGTGGGGAAACGAGAGCCAAATGAGCGACCAGATTGTGTCCCCCTCGGTTTTCTCCTTTTCTGTGGCGCCATCTGTGCGGAGCACCGCGAACTCTCACTCCAGGTGGGCGACCGGTGGCGACCGGCTAAACTAACGGAGATGGTTTCTCGTGGATTATCAATAGAGAACTGTCGTGCTTTCAGTTTATTTACGCACTCTCCCATAAATTTCCATCTAAATCCGATTCCGATTTTTTTCCTCTCGCCGCAGCGCCATCTATCGCAAATTGGGGGTACCCGCAAGCAGACGAGTACACAATCCCGTCACGGCGGTGCGGTAGGCTTCTATGGGCCGTTTCTCCACCTGCCTATCTCACACCCTGCTAAGCAGTTTCGCGCACAGCTATGACCGCTGGTGAATACTCCCTATAAACGTTCCCACTGTTTATAAAAATCACAGTCCACACATGCTAAATCACATTCCAGCCAGCCCAGCCAGATAGTGCGCGTGCTTAACACACAAACATAGCAATGAACGCGCCCTCAAACGGTTTTATGGAAAGGTTATAGACTTTTTCCACATAACATCATACCAGTGCGTAACTGACGTACCCTCGACCCGGTGCATTTTTGGATTGTCCGCTGACACAGGATATGCCACGTGGAATATGAACCCGCCATGGGTATGGAAAAAAAGACTTGGAAACGGACGTCGTCCGCGAGTTAGTTCAGCTATTTTTTACTGTGTTACAATTTCCAAATATCTACGGTTGTCTGGCTATCACTGCGCCGTGGTCGTGTGCCCAAAACAAGTTTAGTAAAAATAAGAACAATCACGGAGAATGTGCGATGAGCACAAGAGACTGCAGCGCGAGTGTAACTGCAATGTTATTGAGCTATACACGTTCCACAAGGATCCTTATTTATGGAGTCAGGCGATGCCAGCGTGAATCGTGAGGGCTTTGTATCAGACTCATCTTCACATTTATGCTCACGACTACTTCATCTACGTCAAGAGGACTGACTCCAACCCGGTGCAGGTGCTCCGATTACGTTATCACTGCAAGGTGTGCTATTTCTCCATGACATGTGGAGGGTATGAAAATGTCTACGTGCTTTTACTCAAGATTCAGCTATCAAATTCCGAAAGCTTGCCTGCACAAACTAGGGTACATGAAGGTGCTCTTATATACCTTCGTTGTTGAAACTCAATCAAAGCACCACACCGTCATCGTCGTCCTCGTCCTTTCGAGGAGGAATGGTGATGACCTGTCATTAGCCGAGGCTCGATTCAATCGGCCAAGTTCCGGCTAAGTTATTGTAGCCCACCATGCCCAAGTCTAGCCAAGTTCGTCCCATACTCACACCATTGCCTGCCCAGATAGCTGTGCTGCCAGAACCCGCCGGTTTTTCAAGCTTCTAGCAGTAAGCCGCTAGACGGCGTTCTCGGCGCGGCAATTTTTAAGATGGCGGCGCCCTTAAAGAACGGTCTATCGACAAATGCAATCTGCAATCATGGTGCCACGACTGGTGCCCCATGCTTGCAAGCACGTGCAACGTGCGCGTGAACGTGACTTTAGCAAGCTTGTAATCACAGGGCCGCGCCTGCTCGAGCTGAGACATGGCGGTGGCCAGTCATCCAGCTTGCAATCGTCTATTAGCGGCGAGATGTTTTGGTTTCGCCCTCCTATAGGGAGTATTCACTAGACGCCATATTTGTGGGTGCTGTTTAGAGCGCATGCTCAGAACGAGCTCACATCAATAGGCTGCTAAGACCGGCACTTTTGATGGTGTGGAATGTACGCTGCAAAAGAACTGTGGAAGCTCGCCATCAGCGCGCGCTCAGCATTCGCGCACACAGCTATGGCCGCCAGTGAACGCCCCCCTATGGTTCCCGTTTGTGACGTCATTACCTTGCGAACAACAAGTTCGATGGTGTTTCTAATTAGCACGGTTGAAGCTTGAAATCATTGCACTCTGAAACCAAAACAGCCAGCACTGTCAAATTGAAGTTCTCAGATTACTCTTATTTCTGTCGATAAGAAAACCTTTGCTGACATCATAGTCAGCATTCGGTGAATCGTGGGAGGCCGACCACAGCGACGCTTTCGATCGCGGACGTCGCTAATACGGCCAGCAGTTTGACTATATGTTTCGCATTTATCAATGTGGGGGGAAGTCTCGCGCTGCACTGCGCGTGAAGAGCGCAACGAGGTGGGCACTCAGAAGGCCGCTGCATACGCACACAGCAATTGACAGCAATCGTACTTACGCAAAGCTAGCTACGTTGCGTTGCGTGTGTATAGAAC